TAATGATTAGAGAGACACGCAAACTCCAAATATACAGCAGGCAAAGTCAGGGTCGGGATTGAAACCCACGACCTCCTGCATACCAGGCGAGGTAGTTAACATCTCAGCCACCGTGATGGTAATGATTAGAGAGACACGCAAACTCCAAATATACAGCAGGCAAAGTCAGGGTCGGGATTGAAACCCACGACCTCCTGCATACCAGGCGAGGTAGTTAACATCTCAGCCACCGTGATGGTAATGATTAGAGAGACACGCAAACTCCAAATATACAGCAGGCAAAGTCAGGGTCGGGATTGAAACCCACGACCTCCTGCATACCAGGCGAGGTAGTTAACATCTCAGCCACCGTGATGGTAATGATTAGAGAGACACGCAAACTCCAAATATACAGCAGGCAAAGTCAGGGTCGGGATTGAAACCCACGACCTCCTGCATACCAGGCGAGGTAGTTAACATCTCAGCCACCGTGATGGTAATGATTAGAGAGACACGCAAACTCCAAATATACAGCATCAGGCGTCAGGGTCGGGATTGAAACCCACGACCTCCTGCATACCAGGCGAGGTAGTTAACATCTCTCAGGGTAATCGAACCCACGACCTCCTGTATACCAGGCGAGGTAGTTAACATCTCGCCACCGCGTGTGATGGAGCAAAGTGTGGGTACTCCCACCTTTTCCGAGACGTCTGACCAGCGTGGAAGAGTAGGCCAAATACCCTCTTAAAGGGCTCTCTATAGCTCCCTCTAGTGCAGCCCTGCAATAAATTGACTCTAATTGAGATCCCATTTATTGCTGCCCCATAGGTTCATAATATATTTACGGTGCTATTAAATAATCCTGCCGTAAATAAAATAAAATGTAATGAAAATCATGTTTTCATTAGTATGCTGCCTTCGAGTATTGTAAACAAAAAAACCGTGTTTTTTCATTTCCTCCGGTTGCTTTTAATCATATAAACCACAACTCATAGCATATTATTTCATACCTTTTATTCATCCACACCAATTCAATATACACGCTAATGTAAAAAATAAGATATGCAGTACAAGTAAAGCAGCAAGCCGTGCTTGTTCGTCACTTATAACTGTTGCGCATTTAATAATCGGTGATAATTGTGGAAAATATTGATAAATACAAATTCACAGCCCTGTGTCAATCACCCGCTGGACACAAGCTTACCCTCACAGTGTCAGTCCACGGGGGTTGTTTAACCATACTTTCTTTCGCAAAGCGATACTTTATTCAACGCACAAATGCACAGCACAACTCCAAGGGCACGACCGAGAAATAAAGCCGCAAATGAGCACAAAAACATCCATTCAAACAAATTTCGTTTGAGTAAATATGAAATGTTTAACGATGCTTGACCGTGCGTGACAATTTATCATGGGTGCTGCTCCGTCTCCCACGGTAAGCATCTCCCTCTTGGAGTAATCTGTTACAAATGAAGTTTCTTCACGAAAGCTTGTTTTAGCACAACGCTGCTCAAATATGTTCCCCACAGGACTAGTTTTGACAGCTGGCATTCAGATACATGATATCATCATCATGATGATAATTATTTATAGAGCAGCTCACACCCATGCAGCACGTCTAAAGTCGACGAGGATGGATGTTGTGTGCTGGAGCATGAAATCCACCCTCACGATTCACGTCCACTCCTTGCCACGTGTTACCAGCTGGGGTTAGCCCCTGGCTCTTGTTGTATGAGGGACGGACTCACTGCTGGTACAAGATTGTGACAGAGGAAGGCGGGAGAACCCAAGATCACTTAAGATATCACGTGCAGCTGATGTTGGCCGAGGAAGGGAATCGGATTCAGATCGCTGGATTCGTAGCGCGATGCGCCCAACCATTGCGCCGCCACTCTGTGATCCTGCGTACAAAACCAGCCGATCTCTGACCCTCAGTCATGTAACCCATTGCCGGCGCATGGACTTGTTGCCTGATTAACGGAGTCACAATTGAAATATCGTTTTAATAATGATCATTTTACACTTACCGTACCTTGGAACACTAAACCTGCAGTGGGAACCACTGTAATAAGTGCAGTATCTTTAGTAGGTTGCCACTCAAAATTCACGTCTGTGTTTTTTTTTTTCACGATCACGCCTCCTGGGTGTTATTTCTTTGCCTGCGAAACTGAAGCGCAGCGAGTTTGAAGGCATTCCTTCAATGCGTACTGATTGCTCAACGGAGTAATACAAATGCAGTTCGGTCAATTACTTAGAGTCACGGTAGAGCCATAGACGCAGCGAAGAAGGCAAGGAATTTCTGAGCAACCTGTCAATGTGAACAGGTTGACAATGAAAGCCGTTGACGTTTACAGCAAGGGAACACGAATTGAGAGGAGGGCGTGAGCTAAATAAACTCAAACTTTAGATTGTGTGGCACCCGATTCTGTAGGCGATGTGTTTGATGTTGATGATTATTTTTTTTATGTACTAATTATAATTTTGCACTTATATACTTTATTCATTTTACGCGTCTATTTTTCCTCACTTTCTATATTTTGCACGCCTATCGGTTTTTTTTGTATTCTTTGCTGTTAAATTTTGATTGAAAGCTTTCGTGACTGCAGTAATTCATATTCTTAGTTCTTTCGGTAAAGTCACGTTGAAGGGAAACAATAAAATAATAAACGGTCGTTTGTGTTATGGTCGAAACGTCGTGAGAATTTTTATTGTTTTATATATATTTTATTATTTTATTGTTTCTTTGCTGTTGTAACTGGCTGACCCGCCCCTACTGGACATCTGTGAAAAAGAGCTTCATAGCTCATCGGATTCCTCCCGCACTCTTAAGATTCTGATTTTGATGTGGTTTTGGAATTTCACGTTAAACCTTGTGTCGAGTTTTTGTTTATTCACCTCAGGACCCTTTTATTGACTTTAGACTTGCGGCATGAGTTGATGTATAAACGTTGATGCTAATGAAATCAGGTACCGGAATGGCCGGTGTCAAAACTAGACCTGTAGGCAACAGATTTGAGAAGTATTGCATTAAAACAAGTTTTAGTGAAGAAACTTAATTCCTAACATAAAACTGCAAGAGGGAGATGCTTACTGTGGGAGACAGAGCAAGCGTTAGATGGCCGTGCAATGGTGTTAGACGCCTTTTGGCGTCCTCTGGTCTAACACCATTTGAGACTAAAGAAAGCTGTCTCTGGTGTGGACCATTCAGTTTCAAGGACAATGCATATATTATCAGAATGTTTTTTGTTTGCATTCTGACCACAAGTATTGTGGTTAATACAGACACGATTCCTTGTTAAATGTTTCAGTTTGGTGTTTTAACATCTTAACACCTGTTCTGTTGCCAGAAAAAGGGGAAAACATGTTCTCATATTTTGGTACTGGCAAAGGAGGTCCCATGATGTAGATGAAATATGTTTCTATATTTGAAGATCGTCATAGTTTTACTGAAACTCTCCCTTGATAAGTATTTATTTTTAAAATATGACGTGAGAATATTAAGGCACGTCTTAATATGCAAAGGTATGCTTGAGCTGCCAATCGTCAAGATAAGCTCAGTATCTTATTTGTAAACACCTTACAGACAACTTATTCCACTGTGCATGCATTATTATTATTGTTGACAATTGTAGATCGAAAAATCTTGTTCTAGTGACCGTATTAATGTGTTGGTTATTCCTCATTTAGATTACAGCTTAAAATCGAATGGAAAACCAGGTTTAGACTTTAAGAATATGATTTATGATGTCTTGAAAATCAGATATCACTCTTATCATTAGTTGGCATGAATGGAGAGATAGCAAGGTAGTCGCAAATAGTTTAAGAAAAACATGATTTATTTCTACTATATCTTCATGTTCTTCTTCTATACATTGACTATACATTCACATTCAGGTGGTGAAGTCAGATAATTGTGTTAGGAGTAGCGGAGTGGTGAAACGCCGTAAGGATGCCTCCTTCGTATTTGTGAATGGAGCATTGAGTTGTTAAATGGTCCATGGGTCTATTCTTCATGTTTGATGCCTTGAGCAAGGAGCTGCATGTTTTGTGTGCGCATGTACACGCGCACTGGCCGAGCACCATGTCCGCTATATTTATTGCACATTAATTGTCGCAGATCTGAAAAACAATGAGACAAAGAGCGAGCAATGTTATTGGAAATGTCTTGCCAGGTGACCAACTGAGCATGACTGGCGCAACGTGTTATATGAATTGTGACGCGGTGTAAATCAGATTTTATAGGGTCGCACCACCCAAACACAAAATTAGCCATCAATGTAGACCATTGGTTCTTAACGTTTACTGCAGTCTGGCACCCCGTTGGTTCTCAGTCTTTAAACAATGTATAATGTAAAATAAATTCTTAGTTTTGATGAAACAAAGTAGTTGTACCTACTTGACCGTGCTTAATTTTGTCTTTTCGATGATTTACCTTCTAAAACAATCTGGCCATGTCTCGAACCCCCAAGGGGCGCGTGCACACCAGTTGAAGAATCACTGATATAGACGATGAATGAACGCTTTTAAATGAACAGAAGCCACCCAGGAACAAATAAAGCACAAGGAAAATGGCATTCTTTTTGAGGTTGCAGACTTGTTGTAAGGCAAACAAGTTATTTGGCGCTGCTGCTGCTGCTGCAGCTGCTACATTGGCAGTGGTGCACAGCACAAATAAAAGCAACAAAAAATCTCAGTAACTCTGTCGCATAAAAAAAAAACTTGGCCCACTCATCCACTCTGGCCTATGCGTGTGCTGTGAAGAAGGTGACATTGCCCGAAATATCACCCGTTATACTTTATATATATATCTTTTTTTTCTTTTTAGCGCCACAGTATTATTGACAAATGTGTTTTTAGTTTTTGCTAAAAGTTTACGGTAATGTCATTCGTAAAACATATTGCATTAACAGTTTACATTTTTACTGTTCATGACGAGCTGGACAAATTATGATTTTCCTCTATCGTTCCTGTAAGGAATACGTTTAAATTAAGTACTTATGCATTAAAATAATAAATCAGAATTACCTTTTAAATCTCAAGCGTTGCAGTAAGGCCTTGAGCGAGGTTCTGGTCATTGGACTTCCAAACATGAATATGAGCGGTGTGGTGAGTGTGTTCAAGATGCGCAAGATAGAGAGAGGGTTGTTGGCAATGTTTTGACTTGAAAAGCACCGTCTAAAGGCAAAGCAGATGGACAAGTGGACTATGTTCGGAGTCCACAGAGCGATAAACAGTGAAGACGCAACGATGATGAGCCAAGCAGAGCGGTGCTTGTACTCCCTGCCAGTGTGTGGCTCCCTGTTTTGCTGTTTACTGGTGACGATGTAGAGTCTGACGTTCAAAATCACCATCACCCCAAACATGCCGGCCAAGAAGATTAACGTGACATACCCTTGACTTGTTTGACCGTTACCGCTGGGGAAGATTAGGCGCACGATAATCGACAGGGCGGGCCACGCCCAGGTGAGCGCGATCACGATCACGACCTTGGTCCTGGTCATCTTCTGCAGGTACTTGAACGGGTGCTTCACAGCGAGGTACCTGTCCACCATGGCGGCCACAATTGTGACGAGAGATATGCCGTGGACCGTTGCCAGCACCCGCAGGGGACTATCGTACGCCTCTAACTCTTGACTCACGTCGTACAGACCGAGGTAGAACCAGCCGGCTCCGGCGATTAAATCGCTGACGGTGATGCTCAGCGTGTACAGGTAGTTGTTTCTTTTCAGGAGCACCGGTGAGCAGAGCAGCGTGAGCAGCAGCAGCGAGTTGCTCGCGACGCTACTCGTCGCCAGACAGGCGTGGAAGGCGATCAGCGCCCCGTCTCCTGGCGTCTTCACCAGGTTGATGAGCGGCACGGACATGGCCTCGCGTCGACAGAAAGAACAGTCGTCGCCTAGGCTCGGGTCACTCACGTGGAAAATGTTCTTGGCTTTTGTACGGATTGACTTGCCTTCAGATTCAGATGCATATATAGGCTCTGTAATTCCCTTGTGGGCTATTTGTAGCCCATGCCTGTGGGAATTAATAAAACACTAAAATTGGTATGTGTGCTGCTGCTGCTGCTGCTATTGACCACCGAATTGATGGCAACCGGCTTGCCCCCGCGTCAAAATCCCAGGGCGTGCCCACCGTGTGGTGTTTTGCGAATTGATCGACGGAGACGCGGACAACGAAAAATAAAAATAATAACGGACAAACACGTAGACATTCCTCTCAATCCATACGGTTTAGCCGTATTTTTGTATAGGAAAATTTAGTATTTCAGGTCCATACGGCTACCAGCCGTTTCGATACGGGCAGCAAAAAAGTGTCTTTGTTCGTGTTTTTTCCCTTGTGATGGGACTTTGTAGGATTGACGTTGAGATTAATAGGGCACGGGGTGACTAACAAGGTCTGAATTGGGCTGTAATATGGTAGGCACTGATAAGGGATTGACAAGTATGTGTAGACACAGACATCAACGTGAAAGCAATTGAATAGACAGGTAGACATTGACATGAACACATGCGTGAGACACTGAAATGCAAATAAAACCATGAACTAAACCCGTGAACAAATTCCACATTTCTACGGTTGTGTCAAGTCCATCCAGAGTGGCGTTATACTTGAGAAATACAACAACCGCCATTCGCCACTAAGTGGCGGTGACGTCACCACGACGCTTGTGCCAGGCTATGTGCACCTTGAGGTGACGGGGCAGACCCAGGTGCCACAGGTCGACGGACTGAGACGACTGGCTGATGCACCACCTGTGCCCCCTGCTGTACCAACTTGCTGTGTTGAAGCCACCCGGCGCTCCGCTCGTTGTTGTGAGTGTCGCTCCTCCGCCCTCCGTTGTTGTTGGAGGGCGACTGCCTCCAACTGCCCAGTAGCATCCTTCACGAACTTCCTCCACAGAGGCCGATCTTGACACCGCTGGTACCAGTCATCGGCAAGTCCACTCAGCTCCACATCCTCCTGTACCACATCACTCCATCTCTTCTCTAGCCCGTGCCACGCCCGTTTCGTTCTCTCGATTCGGCCAAACAAAAGCTGTTTAGGCATGCGGTGGCTGGGCATGCGGGTTACATGGCCCAGCCAACGCAGCCTTGCCTGCCGGAGGAGCTCATCGATGGGACTTTGTCCAGATCTTTCAAGGATTTGTGAGCTCCTCACACAATCTAGCCTGGTTAAACCCAGGATGGATCGTAGGCAGGCCAGCCTAAATGTTTCTAACCGGCGAAGATATTCCATTAGGGGTGTCCACGTTTCGCAAGCGTAGAGAAGGGAGGGAATGACCATGGCCGAGAAGACCTGAAGCTTCGTGCGGAGCGACAGACCAGGTAGCTTCCACACAGCGTTACGCAACCGATGGAAAGATAATGCCGCTCGACTGATTCGGAGTGAGACCTCTGCTGTTAAACCGGAGCCGGTCATGAGCACACTGCCCAGGTATGGGAAACCCTCCACTCTCTCCACAACTGCCCTATCACCAATTGGGAGTTATGGGGGTGAAGTGTCCGATGGTACAAAATACTCAGGCAGATGCTTAGATTTGGTGGGGCAGAGGGTAAGGCCCCACCTCATAGTGGCAAGCTCCAGGTTCAGCAGCAGCACCTCCAACTCCTCCTCTGAGTGAGCAGTAATATCCAGATCATCGACATAGATAACATGGTTGAGTAATAGGGAGCCATCTCTTGACCACACCCGGGCATCGATCAGCCTCCCATTGTATCTGTACCAGATGGAAATTCCTCTGGTACAGCTATTGAAGGCTTCACGAACTACGTGGTCGAAATAGATGTTAAATAATGTGGACATCCCTGTCGCACCCCAAGGTGTACAGGGAATGGTTCCGTCTCCCGGCCACGTAGTTTTACCCGGGCCTGCTCACCATCATGAAGGTCCTTAATGATCGTGAGCAGAGGGTCAGGGACTCCGAAAGCACGAAGAACGACCCAGAGCCCAGGCCTACTGATGGTATCATAGGCCTTGACCAGGTCAATAAAGCAGAGATGTAGGTCTTGTTGAAATTCCCTACACTTGTGCTGTAGCAGACGGACAGAAAATATGGCATCTGTGCAGGACCGCCCTTTCCTGAAACCGCATTGGGACTCCCCAGGCCTCTCCTCAGCGTGCCTAGCAAGGCGATGTTGAATAATCCTTGCCAGGACCTTTCCCGGCACACTGAGGAGTGAGATGCCCCTGTAGTTGTTACAGTCTGTACAGTCCCCCTTCTTAAAGAGGGGGGCCACCAGGGCATCCTTCCAGTCCTGCAGGAACCCGTCCAGTGGTCTAGACTGTTGTTATGATGTCATGTAGGGCAGTCTGTGCACAAACGCCACCCTCCCTCCGCATTTCGCTTGCGAGATCATCTCTGCCCCGTGCCTTTCCTGGTCTCAGACTCTGGATCGCCTTCAGTACTTCCTCAACAGATGGCACCTCAGCCAGCCACTTACAGGGGGTGACTTCTTCCAATATTTGAGGCACCGCAGCCTCAGCAGGGTCATCCCCAATTTGTCCCACGACGTTATCCAGGCTGAGGGATTTCCCCTACCCCAGGACCTCACAGAAATGCTCAGCAAATCTGCAAAGCTGTTCCTGGGGGTCGGAGATTGGATCACCGTTCTTTCCCCTAATGATGGTAATAGGTGTTATGCTGCAGGTTACTTTTATGATGGAATTAAATAGCGATTTGTGATCGCGGGCCATTGAGGCAGACTCCATCTCCTCAGCCACCCGCGACCACCACCCATCCTTGCAGCGCCTCACGGCTCTCCGAAGCTCCGAGCGAAGGCTGTGCTAAGCCTCCTCATTCTCCGACGTGGGATGCTGTAACCGATGAGAGTCGGGCTGTTGCTTTTTCTCAGCCAGCCTGAACACCTCCTCTGTCAGCCAGGGTCTCTGGGGAGGTCTGGACCGTGTACCCAAAGCAGTCATTGCAGCTGCATGAGCCACAGTCCTAAACCTCGCCCATTTCCCCTCGACATCAGGAGGAGTGGGGGACGATGCCAACCCCAGCCGCAAGCGATAATTAAATTCTCGCTTGCAACTTTCTTCAGCTAGCTGAGACCATTCCACTAAGGGTTTGAATGGGGTCATGGGTGTACACCCACCACTGGAGTGGAAGAATGGCAGGCGCATCTTACAGATGACAAGTCGATGGTCAGTGGGCAGATCAGCTCCACGGTAGGTCCTGGTGTCAAGGACATGGGCCCGGATCCGCTGTTCCATCACTATGTAGTCCAGAAGATGTTCTTGCTTGGACCCGGCATGCATCCATGATGTTGTGTGGATGCGCCGATGCCGGAACAGCGTGTTACAAGTCCATGGGCTGCACAAAATTCTAGCAGCCTCCTGCCGTTGTTATTGAGCTGAACTGGCCCATACCTTACAATCACTCCAGACCAGGTCCGGCAAAACATCCCCCTACCTTCTTGTGTTGCCGGATGGGCAACGCTGTCGTGGGCAGTGCTGTGGGGGGAGGGCCAATTCCGATTGGCCTTACCCCTCATGGCGTTTGTGACCACTACAGCGGCCAAAAGCAGGCTCTGAACGGGTGCGAGGGGCTGGTAACCCCTCCACCTTCAATTAATTACCGCTAAACCACGACGGAAAATTTTCATAAATAAGCTTGTGCCAGAGGCCCCGGGGGGACAGACATCTATTACGTCGCCTGGCCAAACCCCATTTGGCAGAGCCAGGAGACAATCCTTACCCTCGGGGCTCCTCCAGAAACAACAAAAAAACACTACGTGTGGCCAAGTGGAATGTTCGAACGCTCACTGCGGAGGAGAGGCTGCCACTCCTCTGTCGGGAGCTGGACCGGTACCGCCTGGATCTCTGTGGTATTCAAGAGGTCCGGTGGACTGGCTCTGGCTCCTGCCACCATGAGGGGAAAACAGTCCTCTTCTCGGGGCAGGAGACTGCCAAACAACAGGGAGTGGCTCTTTTTGAGAAATACGGACACACACACACACACACGCATTTACATCAGCCATGATCAATCTACTGCTAGATGATGGACAGGCTCACAGCGTTGTTTTTGGTTTGGTGTACCGTGCAGATTGAGCAAACTCAAAATTGAGTTCCGTGGGATGGCAAACGTTAAGCAGCACTGCTGTAATGAACCACAATCGTGCGCAAATTCATAATGCGAATCCAAATTTTCAAGAGGGATTTTTTTATTTATGATTATGATTGTGTTCCTCATGAAGATGCAAGGCCTGTAACCGTGGGAATTGAAATCCCTCTTTTGCCGCTGTACTAAATGCACCCATCCCAGCAAATATCATTTAGCCCTCACAGCCATACCAGCCCATCTCTCTGTGTCACGAGGCTTTGTTCAGCTGTGCGTCGGAAACCCCTCTCATAGCCACACCACCATGTACCATTCACAGCTCGTACACGTGTCTCCCGTCTTATATTTTCGAATAAAACCTCAGCACAGTCGTCAGTAACACATGGCCTTGAAGGGAAAAGTACGACATAGATGACATTTTGGGTAATGGCCCCCACGTTGTGGAACTACCCACCGGTGACCCCCCCCCCCCCCCCCAGTTGTGGAACTCTCTACCAATGGGGGATAGTCAATCGAATATTGTTGCGTGGTGTTTTAATTTTGATGTCTTCTTTTCATTCAGGAGGTCTTGAAACTTTGTGAAAGACACCATTACAAGTGCTAATTATTAAGTCATTTTCTGTGTTTTCAAGTAAAACACCCAACATATTCTCAACATGATTGTGTTGTTTCACTGCAACTAAACCAGTACATGAGATACAACAGAGCACAGAATACAGTGAGGGAAAAAAAGTATTTGATCCCCTGCTGATTTTGTACGTTTGCCCACTGACAAAGAAATTATCAGTCTATAATTTTAAT